GCGGTGCGCTGGCAAAAGGAAGACCTTTCTCTCTGTCTCTCTCTCTCATTGTCCATTCTGCCTGTCAAAAATAAAAAATAAAAATAAAAAATAAGTAAAATAAAAAAAATAAGTAAATACTTTATGTGTTTTATAGTACTTTAAGAGTTTACAAAGTGGTCATTTTTGCTGTCTTCTTCCATTTGAGTTATGGCTGGGAATGTTTAGAAGAAAACAGGCTTTGGAGTCAGGAAAATGAGATTTCAAGTCTCAGCTCTGATATGTGCTATTATTGTGGCTTCAACTCTTAGGATCTCAGTGTTTCCTTCTGAAAAAGCAAACTGTTCACACTAAGGAGAAATGGTTCCCGTTATTGCTGGCATTACTTTCATTATGCTCACCTTCCATTCATCCAGTATCATTGGAGAGAAGGATTGAGCAAGTATCAGCTCCCCCCACAGGGCAAAAGAGGGAAAACGGGAGCACATAAATAAATTTGGAGACTGCATGATTGTTTGCTCCGATTGTTTGCATAGTTGGTACCTGAAAAAGAAAACAAAGCAAAAGCAAAAGAGTAGTAGGAGCTAATAGCAACTGTCCGAGATTATCTTCTTTGTTTCTTCATTTGGATTAGAACATTAGACTCAAACCTCATGGTCATCAACTTGCCCAGTAGGAACTGAAAATAGTACATATTTCTCTACCTAACCCATGAAGATTCTACTCTGGTTCACCTGAGTCAAGATACCTGAGTGTAGTATCTCCTGGGTATACCTGATCATCAACAAAGTTGGTGGATCGCTGGAAAGATGATTTCCAAGGTTAAGCCCACAAATGACCAGATGACAATGGTGTTTTTTGAATCTGCTTTTAAGAGCTGGCTGTTTGCAAAGGGAAGGCATTTCCTTTTCTAATACAGTTTTCTCATTCATAGCAGCCTGTGTGGGAGGTGATGTTTAGGCTGAGGGTTATTCTGAAACTCTTACAAGTTGTTGAAAAGCATAAAAGCTAAGTAGGAAAAGAGGTCCTCAGAAGTGGTGCTTCAGTCAACACTTGCACGAATCCCATAGACAAACTTGCTAAAGCCACAGGAGCCTTTCCTCTCAACATTTTATGCTTATGGCTCAGCTCCAGGTAAAATCTGAGCAGAGAAATTGCCTTGGTTTGAATGGAGAGTGACGACTTCCACGAATCACCGTTTGCTTACCAGACATTTGCTTGCTTTACAGTTACACCTGAAAAGAGCACAGGGAGGTGGGCTCAGGGGCCAGCCATGCCCTTCTGCTCAGACAGGCATGGAGACTGTGCTGGAATCAGAGCTTGGGATGCAACCCACAGATGATGAAGTGAGGGATAGGGGATTGTTACTAACCCCACCCACCTCGAAGGCAGCCACCGTCCAGGAAATCCTGTTTACATTCCTGGGAGGAGAGCAGTTTGGCTTCAGCAAAAAAGGATCCTGGAGCCAGTGAATCCTCTGCAGGGAATAAACCCTGCTGCACTACTTTTCAGGAAAAGAAAATGTGTTCTGAGACGGATCTCACAAATACCACATAGCCATCCTGCTTGCCAGTGTTCCTCGGGTGCAACAACAAAATATGTCCAGAGTTAGAATCACACAAACTATGATGAACAGTTCTTCTAGGAAGCTTGTTTTCATCACAAAACACATTTGACAACCAGAAAGGAAACAGGAAATTTGAGGTGATGTCATAGGACCATCATAAACTGATTGCATATTGTTTTTTTTTTTTTTAAGAAACTGACAGTTTTTTTTTTTTTTTTTTTTTTTTTTTTTTTTTTTTTTTTAAAGAATGGCTGGGGCTGGGCTAGATTGAAGCTAAGAACCAGGAGTTTCTTCTGGGTCTCCCATTCCCACATGAGTGGCAGGAGGCCCAAGCACTTAGGCCACCTTCCACTGCCTTTCCAGGTGCGTTAGTAGGGAGCTGGATCAGAAGCAGAGATGCTGGAACTTGAACAGGCATTCTGGTGTTGGGCTGCCCGCATTACAGGTGGTGTGGCTTAACCAGCTACACTACAGTGCTGGCCCCATATATTAGGTCATAGCAACCACTTGAATCTACCTGAAAGTCCATTATATAGAGAGGAAATATATCCTAAAATGCATTCTTCATTTTAAGAAAATCTACTTTTTTTTTTTTTTTAAGATTTATTCATCATTTAAAAGGCAGAGTTACAGAGAAGTGGAGGCAGGGGCCCAAGGACTCGGGCCATCTCCCACCACCTTCCCAGGCCACAGCAGAGAGCTGGATCAGAAGTGGTGCATCCAGAGCCCTTTATGGGATGCCGGCGCTAGAGGTGGTGGCTTTACCCACTATGCCACAGCGCCAGCCCCTACACAGAACTTTTTAAAAGTTTGAATTAATATCAGCAAGTTGAATGACTCCAGAATGAAATTCTGAACAAGGTTAATGGGTAGAAATAACCCCATGAAACAAGCATGGCTTAAAACTCCAAGTGAACAAAAATTACCACTTTCTCCAGTATACATTTGACAACTGGAGATTCCTTCAAGGAACCTGATCTGTTTTAGTGGTTCAGGTCAACAGTCCTCAAAACTTTGCAAACAAATCTTATACTAAGGGAAAATTCTTTACCTTTTTAGAAAACAGACATATAATTTTTATTTTATGATAAAAATACATGAGAAATTTGACTTAAATTTTATAGTAATACTTTTGCATTCGCTAATCTTTCATTTAACTGACAAAACAATAATCTCCACACATCTGTGTAAAATGTCCTTTTTAAAATTTTTATTTTTTTTAAGATTTATTTATTTAACAGGTAGAGTTACAGAGAGAGGGGGAGACAGAGAGAAAGGTCTTCCATCTACTGGTTCACTCCACAAATGGCCAGGCTAGAGCTGGCCTGATCTGAAGTCTGGAGCCAGGAGCCTCTTCTGGGTCTCCCATGTGGGTGCAGGGGCCCAAGGGTTTGGGCCATCTTCCACTACTTTCCCAGGCCATAGCAAAAAGCTGGATCGGAAGAGGAGCAGCTTTGACGTGAACCAGTGCCCATAGGGGATGTTGGTGCTGCAAGCAAAGGCTTAGCCTACCATGGCACAGCGCTGGCCCTTGTGTAAAATGTCTTATTCTTCCAAGGTTCTTCATTCACTGCTAACTGAGCCCATGACTTCTGCTCCAGTTATATATTCCAGTCAATACCGGATCAAAGATTCTCTCAGTGATAGAGAGGTGAATTTGCCACCTGACTCAGTCACCAATTTTGTAATAAGTTGACTTAGTATGTATTCTTTATGTGGTGAGCTCTGTGCTTGATGAGTAAGGCATGAGAAGGGAAGGAAACAGTTCCTGCCCTTGGGAAGCTTACAATTATTGGTCTAGACATGATGTAATATGGGAAACTATGAAAGAACAAAGAACCAACTATGAAAGGACAAAGATTGTGTGTGTGTGTCTGTGTGTGTGATTTTTTGGAAAAATTCGTGACAACTGGAATTAAAATGTAAGTTTATTTTGGTATAAAAAAATGGAAGTCAAGGCAGGCCTTTATTTCATGCAGTGGTTAAGGCACCATTTAGGAAGCATGCATTCCATGTTGGAGTGTCTGTACTCAAGTCGTGGACCCCCTTCCTATCCCAGTTTCTTACTAATGCACACCCTGGGAGGCAGCAGGTGATGGTTCAAGTGCTTGACCCTACCACCTACACGGGAGACACAGACAGAGTTCTAAGCTTTTGACTTTGGCTGGCCCAGCCATGGCAATTGAGGGCATTTGGGGGAGTAAACCAGTGAATGGAAGATCTCTGGATCTCTCTCTCTCTCTCTCTCTTTCTCTCTCTTCCTCCTTCCCTCCCTCCTTTCCTCCTTCTGCCTTTTAAATAAAATGAAAATAATTTTTAAAGATATATTTAAATCCATGCATATGAGAGATCTTCAAAAGTTCATGAAAAATGTGTATTATAAATTAACTATACATGAATCTCAAAATTTTTTGCATCAAAGTAAATTTATCTTTTAATTCCACTTTACCATGAATTTTGAAGTGCCACTGTGTGTGTGTGTGTGTGGTCTTGCCTGCCTTTGGTGTGTATGTGTTGGGAATTGGAATATTACCCATTTAGAATGGCAACCATTGAACCACCTGGGAACAATTTGGAAAAGCAATGAAGAACTGAACATCTTTTATTTTACTTTCTAATTCACCAAACTTTTGTTGAGTACCTCCCATGTTCTGAACAGTAGAAATGTAGACTAAGAATGGAGAGCACATGTTCTATCCATAGACTGAGTGCAAAGGGACTTAACCATATAACTTTCCTAGAGGTCTTCAAGCATGCATGGTTTGCCTATTGAAATATGTGTATGGGGGGCCAGCTGGTTAAACCACCATCTGAGACACCAGCTTCCATATGGTTACCAGTTCAAGTCCCTGCTGATTCACTTAAAATCCAACTCCATGCTAATGTGCCTGGGAAAGTAGAAGAAGATGGCTCAAATGCTTGGGCCCCTGCTACCCATGTAGGAGAGGCAGAAGCAGCTCCTGACTCCCAATTTTAGCCTGGCCATTGCAGCCATTTAAGGAGTGAATAAGCAAATGAAGGAGTCTCTCTCTCTCTCTCTCTCTCTCTCTTCCTTTTAAATAAATAAATAAATTCTTTTTTGAAAAAGGAGTGTGTGTATGTGAACTGAAAGGTGCAGGAAACACATTCATTTATGTGTGTCAGGAAAATATCATGTATTATCTGAATGGTTGCTAGAGCCTCAATACTAATTATTTCTGCTTCCATTTTTGCTCTATTATTGTCCATCTTATGCATAATTGTCCTTGGCCTTAGACACCACAATGGGTGGTCAGTAGTTGGCGATGACTAGACAAATTTTCCTTTTTCTCTTGAAGGAAAATTTTCACTAGAAATTCATAAGGGCAGATGTGCCCAACATCCACTTGCACCTGTTATTGCTGAAATCTCCATTATAATCTCTCTCCCTCTCCTGTGGTTAAATTCTCACAGCCTGCTTGTGCTTTCATTTCAGTTGTTGCTAGCAGTCCTGCAGCTGAAGAATACACTGTGGATATTGAGCTCAGTTTTGAAAATGCATCCTTCCTGGAGCCTGTCAAAGCCTACCTGAGCAGCCTTAGTTTTCCAATTCCAGGAAACAGCAGTGCCCAAGCTGCTGACATTTTGAGCATAGAGGTGACAACAGGTGAGTACCAGGAGAGCAATTGCTTTGGTGTGGTTGATGGGACATAGCAAGAGGGAGAATGTCTGACTCCTTGGTATTAGACCATGTTACCTGGCTGGCAAGTGAAATGACTCAACAGGCCTGTTGTGCTGTTTTATGACTTCATAGCCACCCGAGATGAATTTTCTTATTTTAAATGGTGACCAGATGGTTCCTTGGTGGTTTCTATAATGATCGTCAGAAAATGGTCCCAATATATGGCCAAGGCCTTCATGACAATCAACTGGGTCCTCTTTCCCTTGGTAATTAGTTCAGGATTTCAATAAAGTAGCAAATTCTTCTCTCTTTGGCATCATGGGTCAGGAAATAAAGACCAAGCACAAACTTGTATCAGAAAAAGGCATTACGCAGACTCTCTCAGGCCACAGATGGGACTTTCTGGTTACAGAGTTTCTTCTAGGTCATACCAGCTCCACTATGTCTCAGTGGATAATCACCGGAGACTTGTTAATCCATAGAAGCTCTGAGATGCAATTTCCTCTTGTAAAAGGTTATTATTCTGTAAGTTGGAGAGCACTAATAAATACTGGGTTTTATTATTCTAAAATGGAGTAAAGGATAAAATTATTGTTGTCAAAATTATTTTTGAATTATCAAATATTAGTCTATCCCAATGTCAATCCATACATTTTAATGTTTGATTATGAATATATGCTACTTGAACCTGATTCCATTTCCCATCAAATTCTATGATTAACAACTTCCTTGAGTTAGTGGTTTTCCAGTTAGGTGTCAATGTGCATTATAATTCCCCCCACAGTGGTGGGCTAATGCAATATTTCCCAAATGGTTTTGTTAGCTCTTTCCCATAGAGCATTTTTCAAAAGGGGGGTACTTTAAAACATAAGGGGAAACATCCCTCAATGTCTCACTCAACATAGATCCTCTGCCTCTGAAATTAATTCCCCTAATTATGGGGAAAATAAATTATTGAAAATATTTTTAATTAACTTTGTTGCAATTCTCATAATGGAAACCTTCAATGTCTCTGTGGTGCTAGAAAGAAAATCTGGGCCAGCTCCGCGGCTCAATAGGCTAATTCTCCGCCTGCGGCGCCGGCACACTGGGTTCTAGTCCTGGTCTGAGCGCTGGATTCTGTCCTGGTTGCTCCTCTTCCAGTCCAGCTCTCTGCTGTGGCCAGGGAGTGCAGTGGAGGATAGCCCAAGTCCTTGGGCCCTGCACCCGCATGGGAGACCAGGAGGAAGCACCTGGCTCCTGGCTTCAGATCAGCATGGTGCGCCGGCTGCAGCAGCCATTAGGGGGTGAACCAACGGAAAAGGAAGACCTTTCTCTCTGTCTCTCTCTCACTGTCCACTCTGCCTGTCAAAAAGAAAGTTAAAAAAATTAAAAAAGAAAGAAAATCTGGTATATAAAACAGGCCAGCAAGCATAAAATGTTAAATTATTTGTTTTCATTGACCAACTTGTGATTATGAACACTTGAGATTTAGTTGTGAGTTTGTTACATGTACTCAATATAGATATCAATATAGATATATTGCTATTGATTATTGATAATAGATATATGTGATATTCAAAAAAACATGGAAATACACATTATGACAATAACTATAGATGTTTTTGCTTTCATTTCATTTCATTTTTACACAAACTCTTTAAAAAGTACTATTGAATTAACCAACTGTCCATGACCTAGATGTCTACTAGAGAAGACATCAAGGAGTTCCACTATTTAGACCATTTTAGAAATGCAGGTGAACAGATTTCTTTTGAAATACGATTGCTTTTGGAAAGTTTAATTGCTTCTTCCAGAAAGACTGGTCATTGATACATTGAGGGGGTGAATCCTTTTTGATAGTTAATTGTGAAAGAGACCTGACAGAATAGATGCTTCAACACAGCAGAGTGTTCCCGAGGCTCAGAAAATTCAGGGCCAGCAGGAATAAGTAGGGAGAGTTGGCCACCAAGAGGAGTGAATGGAAAGGGGATGCAATGAAAGTTGGACTATTGGCTGTCATTAAGCCTAAGAACCCAAATTTTCACCACCTCCCTCTTCCCATTCTCACATGCATTCTTCCAACAGCTTACCTTATGATCCTTTCAAGAATCATATTTTTATCAATAATTATAAAACAGGATATTTAAGGCCAGGCACTACATGTACAACACTAAACAATACCTGGAACATGGTAGGTAATCTGAAAATGAGAGTTTTTACCACCCTCCTAAGACATGTTTTCATTTTACATGGGAGTCAGGCATTCTTCAACTATTCTCCCTTAAACCTCCCATGCAACAAAGAAAGAGATCAAAAATGGAATTTCAGGTGAGGAAGACAGATTTTGACCATGGAGTTTTTGTTGGCTATCCTCAAAGTACTCCCTGATTGATGCTCACCACCCTCTCTGACAGCACTGACTTCTTCTGTCCCCAAACCTTCTCCCTCCAACCTATTGCTGGAACATGGGACTGCATGTCTCAGGGATCACTAGGACTTCATTGTCCCTTCTGTCTCAGGAACAACTGTGTGATGTTGTTCCTTTGCAGAGGCACCTTCTGAGACTATGCCTGGGCACCCATTTGCAGAACAAACAGCTCCCAGTGATGTGACTTGGGTCCAGTTTTAGAAATTGATTCAGAGTACTCTGTTTTCAGAGCATATTGGGGCTGCTCATATTGGACTTGAAATATTATAGGCAAAACTTTGCTTGCACTCTATATTGGTCATCTATGGCTACACAGCGAATTATCCTAACACTTGGCATTGTGCAACAACAGATATTTATTATCCTGCAATTTCCAAAGGTCAGAAATCTGGAAGCAGTGTAGCTGGATGAATCTGTCTCAGGGTCTTTCAGGAGCTAGAAAGTGGTCATCCAAGCTCACTCCTGTGGTTCTTGGCAGGTCTCAGCTCCTCACTAGCTGCTGGCTGATGAACTTATTCCTTGCCATGTGAGCCTTTCCTGATTATCTTCATGCCAAGGCAGTCAGCTTCCCCAGAATGAGTGAGAAAGAAACACATAGAGAGATGCAAAGAGGGAAGCTACAGTGTATTTTATAATTAGTCCCCAGAGGTACCATGCCATCATTTCTGCCATATTAGTCATACAAGACCAAACCAAATACAAGTAAGAGACTATTCCAAAAGGGCATTAATACTCAGAAACTAGGATGGCCAGGAGCCATTTTGCAGTTGGTTATACACACTCTATGTCCAAGAATCTGGGAACAGTGTACCGGATGGTTCAACATAAACATCTGGTAGGTATCTACTATCAGGCATTCTCACCTAAAAGGTTACTCAACATCTCAGTCACAGCAGTCATCTTTCAAAATAACATGGTGATACATATGTGCATACATGAATACCGAACTTCGCAGGAAAGCAATAAGGAGTCAAGGTAAGATTTGTTACAAGTACAGATATTTGCTAGTCTGAATATGCAAAGACAGTGACCCCTTCTCTTCCCTACTGTTCTGGTTGATGATAGTCTGTAGACCTGCTGGAAATGAAGTTTGGTGCTCCTGTGAGAGAGGCTATGGTTGGCCACAGGAACAGTGCCTCCATAATCTCACTTGTCAAAGGCATGAGAGCTCCTACCCAGGACACCATTGCAGTTGCCTTAAAGAACTGCCTCCTAATGGACCTTTTTGCCAGCTCCAGGGAGGTAAGTAAATGCTCATTAAATGGTTGTTGAGTAGCTACTTAATATCAGCCAAAGCAAATGATTTCTCTGTTCTGTGTGTTCTCAAGTGCTAACATAGGGTTTTCAATATTGCCCTGTGATTTTCAGCGGCTGTTACCCTGAGAATGTCAGTCAGACTAAATGTGGGCTTTCAAGAAGATCTCAGGAACACATCCTCTGCCTTGTACAGATCCTACAAGACTGACTTGGAAACAGCCGTGAGTTTTGGCCCCAAGACCCTCTTAATCACCAAGCTGTTAGGCTTGATCTAACATCATAGCATTCGCTATGGACAGTTTGCTTGAATCATTCAGAATTTATGAATGTTGATTTCAAATTAGTCATACCCATCTGTATTTGAATCAAACAGTATTCAGGGGGCAGTGTGATAGTGCATTGACCTATAGGTAGGAGCTCTTTAGGTAGGATGGATTCAGACAAAATCTGCTGGCATCAGTTCTCTGAAGCCTATAGAGAGGCTCTTGAGTCTGATCTAGATGAACCAATTGGTTCTTTCTATACTTTTTGCATACTACATGGATGAAAACCCTAATACCTTTTGAGCACAGAGGGTTCAATCCATTGTACACTAGAGATTGCTAGACACTCATAAGATATATTTAAATTCACTCATGGAAAAAACAGAATACTCCATGAGTGTTAACTGTGTGCCAGACACTGTTCTACATGCTTTACGTTGGATTAATTAATCTAGACCTAAAGCTTTGTTTGAGTTAACTCATTTGGTACAGAACTTCCCAACTAGTGTGGCACCAATTATTAAAGATGAGCTGACAAAATTACTTTCTTTAAATCTCTGGGCAGTGGAGCCACTGACTCAGGCCAGGATCAGCCTCCTTATCCCATTGGGCCATACAAATATTGCCACTTTCCATGGCTGCCTTTAAGAAGTGATGACTGGGGGCTGGTCCTGTGGTATAGTGGGTAAAGTTGCTGCCTGCAGTGCCAGCATCCCATGTGGGCTCCAGTTCAAGTTCTAGCTGGCCCACTTGTGATTGAGTTCCTTGCTAATGCACCTGAGAAAGCATCGGATGATGGTCCAAGTGCTTGGGTCCCTGCACCCAGGTGGAAGACCCAGAAGAATCTCCTGGCTCCTGGCTTCAGCCTGGATCAGCCCTGGCCATTGAGGCTATTTGGAGAATGAACCATCAGATGGAAGATATTTCTCTCTCTCTCTCTCTCTCTCTCTGCCTCTGCCTCTTTGTAACTCTGCTTTCAAATAAATTTTTTTAAAGTGATGATTCAGAAGACCTTGGACATATGATTGACATATCCAGCATGGAATAGTTCTGTCCAGCAGAAAGGACCCTCTTCATAAATACCACACACTGAATTATATACTTATAAGGAAAGATGGTTATTTTGGGTACTACCCACCTGGCATCATACTTAGCATATTATAACCCCTATAAATGTAACTTGTATAAATAGAATCTCCTATGGGGTTGTTATTTAGAGAAACAAAGTGGGAGTAAAATCACCATTAAAATCCACATAGGCTCAAGCAATACTGCAATATGCCGATGATGGATCACGTATCTCAGTGGCTATGAAGATGCACCATCCAGACCTCCAACTACAGGAAATGTAATTGAGCAAGGGCCCCAGATGCTGCCTGCAATGCATCACCATCTAAGGTGTTTCTTGCCAATGAATGAACACATCAAGTTGGCAGATATAGGGATTCCCTGGAAGGCATTAGAGAACCTCATCCTCAGTCTCAGATGTCTTCATACAACCTTCCTTCTTTGTCTCTTTCACTGGGTTCTGATGCTTCTTCTTGCCTTCCCACTGCCTCACCATTTTCTTTCCTAAACATTTCCTCGAGTAATATGTGCTGTAATGTGCTAAGTACTGTGCCATCTAAGCCAGGATCTGCTTTCCAGAGAACTGAGACTAACAGCTATAGTTAGGAATTACTTCTTCAAAGATCTGCTCATGCCAGGGCTAATAAGATACCCAGGTGGGAGTGATAAGGAATATGCACTGTTTACTCTGTTTCATATCTTTGACATATCTCTCACTAGACCTGGGTACATGACAGTCATCTTTCTTTATATTCTAGTTCTTGAAGGGTTACGGAATTTTACCAGGCTTCAAATTGGTGACTGTGACAGGGTTCAGGTAAGAACGCTCTGTTTTGCTTATTTCTATTTGACAGCAGGGAAGTGAAGGAAGAAAAACTCATTAGAAGGGCATTACATGGAATGCTCTACATGAGATATTGGTGGAGGTAGAGACTAAGATCAGATTCTAGCGACTTAAATAGAGAGAAAATAATGATAGTAGCTTATGCCTTACCTGTACATCTAATTAAAAGGCATGAGGGGAAAAAAGATTCATGTTCATTCTATGCATGCAAGAATTTTTCAACTGAATATATGGCGTAAGTTTGTAGTTTAGAAATTTCTAAATACAAAAATGAGACAACGCCATGCAATGATGCCTTCAGATGCAGACTGGCAGCCATCAGAATCACTGAGCTGCAGGCTGCACTGTCAACTGCTCCCCCTGGTGGTGGATGTCATGGCAGCTCCAACTGGGTTTGCACAGTACTTCATCCAAGTGCTCCTCTTAAAAATCAGGCATCTACAGGAACATCCAGATTTTTGGCTTTACGTAACATTCAGTATATCTGGTAACCCAGGCCAGCCTTGGTTATGTGACAGCTGTCCACAGTTTCTGCATTGTGGCTGCCTCCCCACGAGTGCCTCTGTGACTCAGTTCACTAGTCCCTATCCGCCAACTTTCTTCATTGCTTACCTGTCCATACACATTTGTGGATGCAAGCCCTGTCTTGGGTTTTGTCTAGAGCTTGGAAACAGATTATTTCAGCGAATCCCTAAGAATCATTGTACACAGGCTGTCCCTGCTAGTTTATTTCCCTATGCAAATAAACCCTAAGGATCTAGTTTCTTCCCGATTGGTTACTGCTTTATTAAACTGAATGGTCTCTGCAGGCCAGGAAGTGTGATTGTAACTTATGAAGTCACAACAACAACAGTTTCACCTGAATTAATACATAAAGCCAACGAGCAAGTCATGCAGAACCTCAATCAGACCTACAAAATGGACTACAATTCCTTCCAAGCAGTCACCAGTAGTAAGTAAAACATTGCTACCTTTTCCCTGAAAGCAAATTTTGCTTAGGTACGGTAATGGTGTTCAATACTATGCTTCAGCCTAGGAAACTATGTTATGAAGTCTTCTGTGGAAAGAGGCATCCCAGTTACAGTTTCCAGGGCCATCTCTCCATCTTAAGCCAATGTCACCCAACCTGGATAATATCAGTGCATATGGGATATGGGGGAGAGGGAATCAGGCAGCTTATGAGGGAGTGTCATTCTTCCTGGGTTTGTGGAATTTCTAGATTAATATGCTCAGGGTCCAGCGTTCTGACAGAGTAGGTTAAGCTGCCACTTTTTATGCCAGGATCCCATACCAGAGAGCCAATTCCAGTCCTGGCTGCTCTGCTTCTGCTAATGTTCCTGAAAAAGCAATGGGTGATGGTCCAAGCACTTGGGCCTCTGCCACCAGTGTGGGAGAACCAGATGAAGTTCCTGGCTCCTGAATTGGGCCTGGCCTAGCTAGAGCTATAGTGGTCATTGAGGGAATAAACTAGCAGATGGAAGATCTCTCTCTGTCTCCCTTTCTCTGTATCTGTTCACTCTGCCTTTCCAATAAATACGAATGAATATTTAAAAAAATAATAAATTAATGTATCCAGCGTATCCAAAAAAGTAAAACTAACATTATACAGGAATTGGACTATCCATAAAATACACTATGTACCAACTAAGGGGCCATTGTTGTATGAGGTGAATTCATCTCAGGGTGTGCCTCTCAGACCAACCTCAGTACTGCCTGAGAACTTGCAGGAAAGACACATTTCTGGGTCCACTCTAAACCTACCAGGGCAATCTGTAGTGCAACAAACACTCCAGGTGATTTTAATGCATGGAAGCTTTGAGAGCCACTGCTTGAAATCTCATATAACAGTGGTAAATGCTGATACTTCCTCCCTGTTTGACAAGTGGAGTTCAGAGTTGGGCTCTATTGTATTAGTAGGAAGGGGCACATGTTGTTACTTGATAGGTAGTATGCACAGCCTACCAGGTAGGGGTTTGGAGGACAGGGAATGGCAGGCAGATGTATTGGATACTGCAGGTCTGCAGTTGTGGTCTGAAGGCAATTCCTTGTGGGAATCTATTATGAAGGAGCCACTGGAAAGACTGTTGGAACCACTGGAGGAACAGCCCCTTTGCTCAGGGATCAGGACAGACTCATAGCAGATTTATACCCTTTCTGTTTCCATCCACTGCTGGTATTTTTAGACTTTTGGTCATCTTTAAAATAAAATATTGAAAATGATGAAACTAAATAAAGAAAGGAGATATATACAATATTAAGAAAGTGCTACAACTGGAGCAAGACAAGGAAACATGACAAACATTCAAAATAGATTAGACAGCAAAAAAATAAAAAAAAAGAAAATTAAAGAAAAAGTAATACATGATCTTAAAGTATGGACTCACACAGGTAGTCTCAGCAACGCCACCCCTTCCCAACCTGTTATGTTACCCAGCAACCAACAGCTTCACTTTTGTTGGCATGAAAAATTCTTTTATTTGGGGGCATACAACAACAATCTTCAGAATAGTCAAATTTCTGTTATAATTTATTTTTCTAAAAATTCTAGTGTGCTGAAGATAGTTAACTTTTTTTTTTTTTTTTTTTTTTGACAGGCAGAGTGGACAGTGAGAGAGAGAGACAGAGAGAAAGGTCTTCCTTTGCCGTTGGTTCACCCTCCAATGGCCGACGCGGCTGGCGCGCTGCGGCCGGCGCACCGTGCTGATCCGATGGCAGGAGGCAGGAGCCAGGTGCTTTTCCTGGTCTCCCATGGGGTGCAGGGCCCAAGCACCTGGGCCATCCTCCACTGCACTCCCTGGCCACAGCAGAGGGCTGGCCTGGAAGAGGGGCAACCGGGACAGAATCCGGCGCCCCGACCGGGACTAGAACCCGGTGTGCCGGCGCCGCTAGGCGGAGGATTAGCCTAGTGAGCCGCGGCGCCGGCTGAAGATAGTTAACTATTTAAATGAGTACATTCCAGAAATTATACTGATAGAGCTGACTATGAATCCAGGCACACAAGCACACACTGCCGACAATACATTTCAGAAAACTGTGGTCCTATCCATGATTGTTCTTCCAAAGAGCAATGAAGTTATTGTGAATGGCATTCAGCATTGCCCTTTGCAGAGAGTCTATATCAATCTCTGTCCGCCTTTAAAGACCAGAATGTGATTCTGTGGGGTGCACAGGTCAATAAGCATGAACTTATGTCATGTATAATTCCATGCAGGAACTCCGATACCATCCTGTTCGACACAGTGTCAGTGTTGCTAACTCAGAAAACAGGCATCCAAAAATTCATGTTGGCTGGGTTTTTCCTTTAGGTTATTCTAGTTATAATCATATTTAGGGACTGAGGAGCAGAAGAGAACAAGGAAGAAACATTTTTGGATGAATTAGTTATCAGGATTATTTTTAAGCTCATCATATGGCATTGCAAAGAGCACATGGCAGTACTCTGAATAGCTCCACCTGATTTGCCATACATTAATCCTTTGTGATGCTTAATTAATCACCAGGTCCCTTAACCACAACACTTCTTCTTTCATTATTCCTGATAAATTTATGGTCAATTCTACCTAACCATGTAACACTGGAAGTTCAATCTTCCTTATTAGCAACAATAGTAATGAAAACAATGATGGCCTACATCTTGCCTGTAGTTAATCATAGTGTGTTTCCACATACAAGTATTTCATTTTCCTATATCCAGTGATGTAGCTCCACTTCCCAGGGAATGAGGGCTTGCAGAGGGTAAGAGATTTGTTCGAGGACATTCAGTGAGTAAAAAGTTTGTGAGACTTCAAATTCAGTAGATTTCATGCTTTAACTACCCTTAGATGATCTTGCTTCTTACTAAATGTCATTTTCTTAAAATCCTGTTTTAACCCAGGAAATATTTGTGTATCTTGATATTTTGGTTAGAATATCATATTACCCAAAATCAATTTTATAGTGTTTTATTCTCATAATTATAGTATGTAGGGGATATGGCCTGAGTATAAACTCCCATGCAGAAGAGGACACTTTGAGGCTCCTCACAAATGAATCTTGATGTGAATGGAATGGGAGAAGGAGTGGGAGAGGGAGGGGTGCGAGTGGGAGAGAAGTTATGGGGGGGAAAGCCATTGTAATCTGTAAACTATACTTTGGAAATTTATATTTACTAAATAAAAGTTAAAAAAAATAAAAAGTAAATGCAACTGTAAAAAAAAAATCATTTAAATTAGCTAAGTGGCCAACGCCGCGGCTCACTAGGCTAATCCTCTGCCTTGCGGCGCTGGCACACCAGGTTCTAGTCCCGGTCAGGGCGCCAGATTCTGTCCCGGTTGCCCCTCTTCCAGGCCAGCTCTCTGCTGTGGCCAGGGAGTGCAGTGGAGGATGGCCCAAGTGCTTGGGCCCTGCACCCGCATGGGAGACCAGGAGAAGCACCTGGCTCCTGCCATCGGAGAAGCGCGGTGCGCCGGCCACAGCGCACCGGCAGCGGCGGCCATTGGAGGGTGAACCAACGGCAAAGGAAGACCTTTCTCTCTGTCTCTCTCTCACTGTCCACTCTGCCTGTCAAAAAAAAAAAAAAAATAGCTAAGTAAAGTTAGCAGGTTGACACAGTCCTTTTTAGCCTTTTTTTTTTTTAAGTTCGTTCTAGCTCCATTGCTTTCCTTCATCTTATGTAGTCGATTATTTAACTGACAGTAAATGGAAACTAGGATTACAGTTATTTGAGTGAAGCAGACTTCAATAGATTGTTATAAAATGCCTCTTTTCCAAAGCAGAGATATAATGTAAAACATACTCCTTTCTGAACATAACAATTCATATAATACATATATTATAATAATATTATATAAGTGTATATATACTATATACATACATTTTATTTGCAATATATGAAATCTACTTGATTTATATAAAGTTTGATATGTTCTATTTAGGTAGTAACTAGAACACTAGCATAGTACTACCGTTTTTCAAATGATTATTATAACTATATAACAAACAAAAAAAAGAAAAAGAAAAAAAAAGAACTTAATACTTTACCCTTTTAGTATTTTTTATGTTCTACTTAAAACTATTGGTTGAACTCTGTAATTAATACACAATTACTCTTTGGTGTTTAATTAATGCTATAACTAGTACTCAAATAGTATTTTATACTTTGTGTTTCTGTGTGGGTGCAAACTGTTGAAATGTTTACTTAATATATGCTAAATTGATCTTCTGTATTTAAAGATAATTGAAAATTAATCTTGATGTGAATGGGAGGGGAGAGGGAGTGGGAGAGGGGAGTGTTGTGGGTGGGAGGGAAGTTATGGGAAGTTATGTTCATTAAATAAAATAAAATATCAATATTAAAAAAAGATTATTATGCAATTTTTCTTACTTTTGTTGCTCAATATTATTAAATCTTTCCTATGCTATTTTTTTCTGAAGCTGTGACTTACACATAAACATAAATGAATATTTTAGAAAAAAAGAATATCATACTACCCAAAATCAATTTTATAATGTTTTATGCTCATAATTATAGTATGTAGGGGATTTTTGAAATATCTCTATTACTACCATTAAGTACTCTTAGGTTTCTTGAGACATACAGTGCAAAGACCCCAAACTGGAAACCATGTTCCAGTGTCTGGCAGGCTGCAGCTTACTGGGCTTCAGGCACAGCTGTAGAGGATAGTGGAAGGCAACACGTTGTCTCAGCCAATACAGCCCCACACCTGCTGCTCATTGAGCAGCTCTGTGGTGGTGGCATCAGGAATAGCATGAATTACATTGCCTTGCTTTGAAGTCCTAACGTCTTTTCTTTGGATTTCCAGATGAAACGAAGTTCTCTGTCACACCAGAAATCATCTTTGAAGGGGATACAGTAATTCTGATATGTGAAACTGATGTTTTGTCCTCCAACGTGTCTTGGCACCATGTAGAAAGGCGCTTCGACATCCAGAACAGCAGTAGATTCTCAGTTTACAACACCGTGCTCAACAACATGACCTCAGTATCTCGCCTCACCATTTACAACATCTCGGGGGATGATGCCGGTGGGTTTCCATTCAACAACCTGTGTGAGGGGATGAATGAAGGGTTCATAAGGAAGCAAGTCATATAATAGTGTAGATTGTGTTTTTGTCTTCAAAAAGAAATCCCCTGGCTCAGTTGATCAAAATCAAAAATTAATCCCATGACAAAAACTTTATTTTTATTATTTTTATACAAGTAGTCTTCAAAAAGTTCACAGTGTTATTAAAAATGTGTGCATGTAAGTAAAACATTACACCAAAATTAACTCATCTTTTGGATCCATTTTTCCATGAACCATTGGAAGTTCCCTTGTACATTTTTATTAATTCAATTTTCAATGTATTTCTTAAAAATTCAGAGTAGCTTTATTGAGGTGGAATTGACATAATAAACTTCAAATACTGTGAAGTTTGCTACTTAATAAGTTTTGATACATGTATACCTGTGAAACCCTTATCACAATCAAGTTTATGATAATAATAATCACCTTCTCCCTTAAATTTTACACTGCATTGCCATCCCTTCCTCTGCCTTCTTCTGCCCACTCCAAGCAACAACAAAACAGTGTAGTAATTCTTCACTGAGACTAACGATGAAGTGGATGCATTTTAGAATTTTAGAACTCCACTTAAGCCCAGGGATCAACTGGGCCATATCCTTGTCTCTGCATGAGAAGGTGGACACATGGGTTCTATCTCATCTTTGTTGCTTCTGAGTTTGCAAAGTGTTAAAAGAGATAGCAACATTATTTATGTCTTTCTAATTCTCTAGGACTTACCAATTTTTCTTCCATTCTTAAGCTTTTTTTATTCTTACTAACAAAATTCCCAACAGTGCTGCCATTTCCTTAGGCTGTCTTTATACCCTTTACCTTGTGGCATCAGAAATACCTGCATTGACCTCTGCACTTCCTGAATGTTCCTTTAGGATTGTGTAGGTTAAATATCAGATGTTTTTGAAAATGATGCTTTATGAAACACTGTTGTGATACATGAGATGAGGCTATCATTCATCTAAGATAAACATATTTAGCAATAATAAATGATTTTGTGTATCCTATGAAGGTGAATATATTTGCAAACTGGTATTGGATATTTTTGAATATGAGGCCAGAAAAAAAATAGACGTTGCACCTATTCGAATTTTGGCATGTGAAGAGATGAAGGTGATGTGTGACAATAATCCTGCATCTTTGAACTGCTGCAGTGAAAATAAAGCTAATTGGAGCAAAGTGGAATGGAAGCATGAAGGGCAAATAAGCATTCCAGGTAAGAATGTCAGATAAGTCCTTTTGCAAATTAATATTTGCCTCTTGGTCAAGTGAAAAATGGGAGATTCACTGAGTGGAGGGGAGATGTCAGATGTTTGCTTCCCTTTGTACATCAGATTGTGAAAAAGCACAATGTATGATGCCTGTTCAAGCACTGTTGAACAAGTTCAAAACACTCATCTACAAGTGTCATGCTTGGGTTAGAGTCCTATTCTTGGTAGCAGAAGACCCAAGTGGGAATGAACCTAGTGATTTAGGTTCATGTCATTGTCAAACCTATAGAAAAGGTTATCTCCATTATCCTTTCTATTCTCAGCAAAGAGCTAGGGATGAGGTCATTGACTTTTCATTGAGGTCTGAATTGGCACTTCTCACTTCCGTGCCTCTTCTTTTGGTGTCTGTCCTTCTCAATTCTCTGTCTTTGGATTCTCACTCATTCAGTATTTTCTGCCCCTGTTTCCCCTGCTTAGTATCTCTCTGCTCTCAAGTGTTCCATTGCAATTTCTGACCCTGTTTGCATTTGTTTTAGATCTGAGATCTTACCTTTAAAGTTCCCCCACCATCCATTTTGTACAGATGAATGATAATAACAAGGATAAATTAAAACAACAATATTGACTCTGGCTTGCGCTCAGCTAGAGTGTATGATTAACCTCTTCTAATCAAATCTAATATTCACTGAAACACTGAAGCTAGTATTTTTGCCTCCTATTTGCAAATAAGAAAATTGAGGTGCAGATGAAATGACTTACCCAAAGTTGTCACAATGAGTAAAGAAAACAAAGAATTGGGACTCAAGATAATCCTTGTTTCCTAAGACCAGTGTTTATCTTGGTCACAACCATATTATCCATTCCTGATGACTTAGAGCTGGAACCAATGTTTTGTATTTGGAAACTTCGTAAAACAAGATCTAATTCTTTTAAGAAGCAACGGTATTGTGTGTTCACCTTTAAAGGAAAAAAGAATCTTTAAAGCAAAATGTGGCTTTGTCCATGAAAAACGTTAGTGTTGTGAGTCTTTATTTTACCAGTCTTTTGCTATTCAGTTATACTTAAGAGTAAAAGATAAAAAAGACCACCAGTTTACATGCACATTTTCCCGGAAACATCTATTTTGCACAGTATTTTCACCTGCACCATTTATATTCAACTTTGCCCAGATGAATGGGAAAGGCATGTGGCAACTGTCAAAAATATTAACGTGTGAGCTGTTTAGTCACTTCCCTGATTTTTAGGGAAGTGGAGGTGTAGGCATCCTGAAGGGACTCCCAGATGGAGAAAGACCTTGCACAATTCCCCTGGTACTGATTTAGAAGCTTTCAACTCAGAGAGGTGAAAAACCTCGCCCTCTGGCAGAGGAACCAGGAAGTCTGTGGTGCTTCTCTGGCAGTCACTTCTCTGGACACTGCCAATGCCCAGGGCATGCTGAATCAACTGCAGAACAATAGATTTCCTGCCACAGGGCCAGGTGCCTGAGACCTGCACAGTCGGTCCTCTGATGAATTTAGCCTCTGCTCTGGCGCCCTGCCTTTCTTCCTCCACCCCTTGCTGCTGCTCCCTCTTTGCAGCTTTCTTCCTCCAAATGTTACACATTCTTTTAGCACCCATTTTTCCAGGTCAGAAGGAAGCAATCTAGCAAAAATAATTCACCCCAAAGCATTTGAACTGAATTTATGACCTTCTCTCAGAAATAGTTAACATTTCAAAGCATCCTGGAAAGGAGTAAGACGGAAAGGAAATAATCAACAATAGTGGAATTTTTGACTTTAAAAGGAATAACATTTAACGAATATTTTTTCCACTTAGAGGAAAAGTGAATGGCTGTTCTTTTAGAGTATCATCATTACCACAAAATAGTTACTATGACAGATGCAATGCATTCAACTCTGTTTTCAATGTTTACTTTTATCACCTTGGCTTTTTTCCCCCTGATGCAAAGGTCTTGTAAAGTACATTCCGTTGTCATCATTTTATAGACTAAGGTCTAGGATATTACCTAAGCTTGAGCAGCAAGCTTGTAATTACCTATTCTCTCCTCTAATAATCAAAGCACCAACCTATAGCGGCATTTAGTACCTCCTATGCAGGCCACAAGTTGCACATCCCTAGGGGTATTGCATGAAACACAGGTGTATGTTGCCAACTCTGAGGTCCTGCTTTTGCTTTCTGAGTTTGCCACCCCTTTGCAGACTTATCTCCACTCTCAGTCTGCATGTTTCCATCCAGCAGAATTACCTATCATTCTCTGAATAAGACCTGCATATTGTTGATTTGTGCTTTTGCTCATATCAGTTTTCTCATTTAACTGCACAATCCCTTTTTCCAGCAAAATCCTGGTATGCTTGTCTAATGAAGGGATTTCAAACTCTCCATTGACATTTTGGCCCAGATTATTCTTTGCTATAAAGAGCTGTCCTATGCATTATCGGTTATTTAGCACCACCACTGGCCTTTAGCTACTAGATACCAATAGCATTTCTATTTGTGGCAACCAAAATTGTCTCCAAACATTGCCAAGCGCCCATTAAACAGTTATTGTCGAATGTCCCACAGGTAGGCAAAAATGTCCCCAGTTGAGAGCATATCTGAAGAGTAAAGCAGCCCAGAATAGAGCTGTTCTAGTTAATGAAAGTATGGAAGACAGGTGGTTGGCATAAAGGCTAAGATGCCCGCATTCTCCACTGGACTGGCTGAGTTTGATTCCCAGCTCTGGCACCTGACTCTAGCATTCCTCCAGTTAAAATCATACTCAAACATTTTTTCTTCTCTCTTTTATTTTTTCACATTCCAATGTCCACCATTAAAGGTCTTTACTGGGGGCAGGTCTGAGACAGTCACTGTCCTAAGTGTTTATTTGTATTATCTCATTAGACCTGACTGCAGTCTTGGGAGCAGCTATTAGTATTTATTCCCACTTTACCTCCAAAGAAATGGAGGTACAGAAGGGGCTGAGCGAGTTTCTGAACAGTACTCAGCTTGTGAGTAGTAGAGTTTGGGAGGCCAGGTAACCTGGATCTAGAGTCTACCAACCTGACTACTGTACTATCCCACCTTTCCATTCAAAGATAAGAAATCTAATTAAAATAATAACTCATTTACTGATTTGGCATCTTGGCTACTAAGAAAGAGTTATGCAGTCATGGCAGCAAAAGAATTGCTTCTGTCATTGCAGGAGATTCTCAAACAGACCTAGAATCTAGCTGCAGCAGGTACACCCTCAAGGCTGATGGGACCCAGTGCCCGAGTGGGTCCTCTGGAACAACGGTCATTTACACGTGTGAGTTCATCAGTGCCTATGGAGCCAGAGGCAGTAAGAACATAGAAGTGACATTCATCTCTGTGGGTAAGGACTTTTTGGTTAGAAATTTTAATCACAAAATTTATTTTGTTTCCTAAAACAGTGTGCATCCTCAATAAAAAAAACGGCCAATCAACTGGGAGCATTTAGAACAAAATCAAGCATGGCCTTCTTTGGGAGTGGGGGTGTGGTTGAGGCAAATTTCACAATGGTAGATAGAGGAGGGCTTCTCTTTCCACCACTTAAATCTAGATGGAATCTTCTTGAAATTGGGAAGGGTAGTGATGGGAGAGTAGTTACACTGAGGGAAGTAGCTTCCATTGCACTGGTAAGGCAGAAGAGGACTGGGAAGTAGAGTTTCTCACTCAGGTTAGTCTTACTATAATTCAATGAGTGGTGAGGTTAACACCCTTAATGCCTCCCTCTTGTGCTCCCACAACCCCATTCTCCCTTCCTTAAATTCCAACAGCCCGGCTCACTCCTTCTAAAGTCCCCAACTCCTTCCATCATCCCCCCTTGCCATTTAACTTATTCTAGTGATAATGCTATAGAAAGATTTTATAATATGACTCATGATCATTATTTTACAGTTGTAACAACTTTTTTTAATCTCTCAATCAATTCAGTTTAATTAGGCCTCTTTAATGTGTCATTTCTCATAGCATAAAGCATTATAATTGTTCCCCATGAGCAAAAATAGGGCAGTCGAGCTTGTTTTTCCATCTGTTTTGGAAAAATTAATTGTTTAGAGAAATCATCAGGCCCTTTTTGAACAAGTGTGAGAAAGGACAAATACAAACAATACATGGTACTCTTGTTCATGTTTTCTACTATTGTGAGTTGTAGGATCTCTGTCCTTAATGTGTTGTACAATGTGAATTAATGCTATAACTAGTATTCAAACAGTATTTTACACTTTGTGTTTCTGTGTGGGTGCAAACTGTTGAAATCTTTACTTAATATATACTAAATTGATCTTCTGTATATAAAGATAATTGAAAATGAATCAATGTGAATGGAATGGGAGAAGGAGCGGGAGATGGGAGGGTTGCGGGTGGGAGGGATGTTATAGGGGGGAAAAAGCCACTGTAATCTATAAGCTGTAATTTGGAAATTTATATTTGCTAAATAAAAGTTAAAAAAAAAAAAGAAAGGATCAAGGGTAAGTTTATGTGGGCACTCATTAACACAACTCTCAGAGTGAGAACTGGAAATGTATAACCGCTCTCACTATGGAAAACTGCAAATTGCTCAAAATACCAGGAATACTTCTAGGCCATTAATGCACCCAGATAAACTTAATCGTTCCCCAAGCTTTTCATTGTAACTTCACCCCTATCTACATAAATGGAGCATGTCTTAGGGACATGTTTAGCCTTTGCTGAAAAATCACTGCTCAACAAAATGTGTGATTCCATAAGTCTTTTCATTTCAACTCTCAGGAATAGGTGATAATTAAATGTTTATAGACAACAGGAGCAATACAAGGACACACTACACCATGCTTGAGTGACTTTCAGGCTGTGTATGAGTATTTGAACCCCAATTCCTAAAGGGTATAATATAAAGTTCTGATTTCTTTTGATTGTGATTAAGATTTTACACTGGTTTGAAAGGCAGGCTAGTGTCAGTGGGCTCAAGTCATGAAGCTGTTCACCAATAGAATACTACAGTGAATGGCATTTTGAAATGTCAACCATGTCAAAGACATGCTACAAGTGAAAGCCAGAGGCAAAAATAGAAGGAAATTTCTATAAGCTTTTATATTTGTAATAATCTAATTGATGATTTTGATGAAAAATCTCTATGCCAATGAGGAACTTCTCAGAGAAGTAAATATATAGTCATTAATTATAGTTATTATTATATATAAATAATTATATTGCCATAGTTATATAATCATAACTATAGTTGTGATGTTCATCCATCCCAGTTTACCCGAGACTGTCTAGATGTAAATATTTGGGCAATAAACTCTGTAACCCCTCTACCTAAAATGTTCCAGAACTCACTCTTTTGTTTATTAAGTACTGAGTGTATACTAGACCCAACACTAAGAGCTAAGAATGCAAAGACGCAAAAGCAAAAGGCTTCCTCTTAAAGGGTTCATATTTGCTGGGAGGAGAGGAATGGAAGGGGAGAAATTAATATACAGTGTGGCCTTACAACAAAGTATTTTCTAAGAGTACAGACTGAAGTTGTTGTGAAAAGCCAGCCATTTATTCTCAATTTTGGTGTCACAGAAGAGGTTGGATGGGAGCTTGGGTTATGTCAACATCCCTAAGTTTGCAACCTTTTGCCCTGCTAATCATCAGGAGATAATTCCAGCCACAAAGGGGAAGTGCACGAGTTCCTCAGGCATGTGATGGAAGTGAGTACAGTTCAGAGCACCACCGGGAACAGCCTAGAAACAAGTAAAGCCCAGGAGCAGCAAGGTACCAGTCCCGCGTTGATGCAGTCGAGTCAGGACGGCCATTTGTTTCTGTCTCTATCTTAAATTGCATGCACATATCTATGTCTCCAGAAAGACTAAATCTTGGATTTGTTGTCAGTTTTGTTTTGTCTATTTTCTTTGCATTCTTTCAGCCAACATAACAATAACCCCGGACCCAATTTCTGTTTCTGAGGGACAAAGCTTTTCTATAAAATGCATCAGTGATGTGAGTAACTATGATGAGGTATACTGGAACACTTCTGCTGGAATTAAAATATATCAAAAGTTTTATGTCACGAGGAGGCATCCCAATGGAGCAGAGTCAATACTGACAGTCAAGACCTCCACCAGGGAGTGGAATGGTGAGTGAAAGTCCAGATACTGTGTTGTCTGCCTGGACTCTAAGAGACACAGTTCTAATTACCATCTATGGAGGTTCTGCCTTGGCACATACCTATGCAGATACTTGACATAAAAGATGAAGGGGTTTTGTAAATACTGCAGAAGATAGCATTTTAAAATGTGTTTATTTTGGTGCAAAATAATTTTATATCCACACATTCTTTTTCCATAGTATTTATTTTCTATGAACTCTTTTTGACAATCCCTTACATGCATGAACTTTAAAATTGTTTTTGCACCAAAATAAACACATTTTCTAATTCCATTTTCTATGAAATTTTTTAACTTCATATGTCTTGATATTTTAAGCCTTGGAGCAGGACTTGAGAAGCTGACTTTAATCCGAATTCCACATGTAACTGGCTATGTGACCTTAAATAAGCCATGTAATTTTATTTTTAAGTAAGCCATGTTTAGGTAGACACTGATTAGTCCCTCAAACTCATGGAGTCCACAGGAGGGGAGTCAGTCAAGCATTTTCTCCTCCAGGATCCAGGAAGGTGTGGTTTCCCCTCTTACCCAGGGTTGAGAGGGGAAACCATGTCCTTCTTAACCTCTCTAGCAAATGACTTTTGGGAGCAGTTATTTCATCTCAGCTCATTTTTTGCTTCTTTCCACTCAGGAACCTACCACTGCATATTTAGATATAAGAATTCATACAGTATTGCAACCAAAGAGGTCATTGTTCACCCACTGCCTCTAGAGCCACATATCATGGTTGATCCCCTGGTAGCTAGCATCTCGTGCGATGGTTCCCATCACTTCAGTTGCTGTATCGAGGAGGATGAAGACTACACAGTCACTTTCCAGACAGGTTCCTTGTCCTTTCCTACAGGTAAGATGGCAACTTCCCAACTGTTAAGCTCTACTACTTCACACATGTGCAGTCTAAATGCATACACATAAACTAAGGATCAAGAAGCATAGAGACTGTATGAGAAACAGAATACTGAGCAGAACCCCTTGAGTCTTTGTTAACTTCTTCTGGATTGTGTGGCTAGAGGCTCAGTGGTTTGTAGCAAAATCTTGAGTGTCTGTGAGGGTGAAGACCATTCTTTCCAGCAAGAACTGCAGAAGACAATGTTAAAATGACTTTCTAGGATTCTCACTTTCTCAACAGGGCAGAATAAATATTCTGATAGCTATACTTCATGCTTAGAATGCTATAAAAGTGCTTTAGTCAACCTTTCTTGAGCATGCAGGAATGTAAGAAGAATGATCAAGTGCCAAAAATGTAGAGGAAAGGAAACTAGAAATGACAGTTCAGCTAACCTGGAGGTTCCCTGTGAGTATTTGCCAATATCAGAAACCCAGCACCTTGGCTTTTAAAGCTCAGAAGGGTGGGGTGAGGGGGTGCATAATACAAGATACTTTGCTCCCTAAGCAGTAATTATGGCACTGCTACCCCATCAACACAACACTAGGGCCTTCAATGTCAGACACACTCAGTAAAACAGCAGGCTAGAAAAATAAAATCCATGTGCTGGAGTGAAGAACTTGGCCTCATCTCTGGGTAGGGGAAAAGTATCCTTGAGAATTATAACCATCCTGTACTTGCCCAGATTTGGGTTTTAAATTTATACTGCATATGTGGTTCAGGAACTCCCAGCTTGGGAGTAATCAGGGTGAAGTAGTCCACTGGTTAGCATTGAATGCCATCTGGCAAAAAGGAAAATCAAATGCTTTCTGGTAGGATGTACCCCTAATCCAGATCCTTCAGGATTCCCAGGGATTAACATCAACCAAGCGTGAGTTTATAATCCAAAACCTTCAAATAGAGACACCTTCATGAAGAATTTATAAGCTCATTCATTCTTTCAATAACTATTCTTGAGAACTGGACAAATATGGCACTATGGTAGACAGTGAAAGGGAGACAAAAGAAGTGATATACATATTTCTCTATCTATAAAGGTCTATGTCATAAAAGTCAATACAAATAACATTACATAGCCACAATGGGTAATACAGATGAAGAGGACAACAGAAGTTCAGAAAAACAGGAACCCAATTGAGACTAGAATATTTAGAGAAGACTACATGATAGAGAGACATGGGACCACTCTAGATATTGAAGTATTCAAACATTTCAACATTAAGAGTTCAGTTTGCTTATATTCAGTACTTTTTATGTGCCAGACAGTGAGCTAAGCACTGTGAGATGCAAAGATAAATAAGACAGACAGACCCAAAAGGAAGTGACCCTAACCCAAGGTGGTGAAGGTAAGATAAGGAAAATGTACAGAGCATGATGGGATTTGGATAGGTAAAGGGACCAGAGGGATGCTAAAAAAGCATTCTGATTGCCAAAAATATGTAAGCCTAGGTTTGGAATCATGAATGATAGGGGTGAAGTTTTGACTAGCCACATGAAAAGGTCAGCTTATTTACTCCTACAAGCCAGAGGCAAAACCATGTAAAACATGAAACCTTATTTAAAATTGATGTGACATATTCCTGGAAAAAGGTTTGGGCAGGTTTATACATATTCGACCATGTTAACAAAATTTTACTTTGAATACTCATGCTGTAATTCTTTCATTAACTCCATCTTTAGCAAAAGAAGTCAATGGAAAGCAAGTGTGCTACAAACACAATTTCATGGCAAACTCAGTTTCTCGGTGTCCAGAAAATGTTGATATGTTTTGTCACTTCATTAATGCTGCTAATAATTCAGTCCGGAGCAAATCTATCAAGCTGAATCTGGTTCCTGGTAAGTTGTGGTTAAAACTGCTTTAAAACATAAGTCATGAGTAGAGATGCATGCATTCACGTCCTTATTTATCCACTTAATAAATGGATGTTACATACATTATCCATGGCAGGTTTTGGCTACCCCTAGGGAGCTGAAAAGAAGTAGCCCATGTTTCCTGTCCTTGAGCCTATGGGAGAGGCAGACATGTTAAATTTTTTTTATCACTTACAACATGAAAGGGCAGAATTATAGATATTATGGGTGACCAGAAGAGGCTACCTGGTTTAATTCTGCTGATGGCAGGTGGAGAGTGAGTGATCAGCAAAGACTTGCAGATGAAATCATAGTTCAGCTGAGTCTCAAAGGCTAAGATGTTCACCAGGTAGATAAGAGTGGATGGTATCTGTGAACAACTGAGATTCCTTTGAGATTTCAGCAAAGTTATTTTTTTTCTCACCAGCACCCTTTTCCTAAGACAGGGCTATGTGAGAGTAATTGATCTAAAGACTGGCAACTGCCTTTCCCATCCTTCAACATCTCTGTGTCAATATGCCCCTGCATCATATCCTCAAGGAAAAGGTCATGATTTATGGAGTCATTTCTGTGACCACCCAACACTGAAGAGCCTTGTTCAGTAGCAGCCCAGGGGAAAGGGGACCCATGATGACCCCTGGACTTCTACCATAAGCATCCCCTACCCTATTTGAATAAGACTTGATAGAGGAAGGATCCATGGCTCCCTCACCAAGCTTGTCTAATTTACTGAATGATTTGCGGCCATGCACATATGTGTTGGTCACTGGGCCCTGGACTCCAAAGCATGAAGAAATCTAAAGTTCTTTATCCTTTGGTGTCACCATCCCCTGGCCCTACCAAGCACAGCCCCTCCATGTGGCAGCAATGGTTACCTCTTCATCTGTCTAGCTTAGCGAGCAGGTTCTATTCACTTTTCTTTGTTCTCCTCTTTCGTCCTTTTCCCAGAAGTTACTTATTTATTTCAAGACTTTATGCAGTGGTTGAGATCTCAATTAATGATAAATAAACATGCTAGGGACACAAGAGTCTGCCCACCAGAGTCAGGATTTCCTGCAGATTGGATATTTTGCAACAAATGTCACTTTCCTATTTGTATTTGGTCGTCAGTAAGGTGAAATAGATGAAATAAAGTCACATAGGAGTAAATGCTTAAACATATTGCTTAAACTATTCAGGTCACAGATGCTTGGAATTCTAACTATTGATTATGTCTTCAAGGCAGTATGGGCTGGGCCTTTGGCTTAGTGGTTAAGATGCTTCTTGGGATGATCACATTCCTTGGGATGATTATATTCCATATTGGATTGGGTTCAAATTCTAGTTCTGCTCCTGTTTCCAGCTTCCTGCTAATACACACCCCAGGAGTCAGCAGGTTGGGTCTCTGCCACCCACATGGGAAGCCTGGATTGAGTTTGTGGCTTCCAGATTTTGGCACTGGCCCAACTGTTACAGGCATTTGGGAAATGAACCAGCATATGGAGTTCCTTCTGTGTTTTCTCTCTCCCCTTTCCCCCCCCCCCCCCCCTCTCTTTTCCCACTCTCCTTTCCTCTCCCTTCCCCTCTCCTTCCCTTCCCCTTCCCTCCCCAAATAGTCCTTTTCCAATTTATTTTTTTATCCTTTAATTTTACCGGCCAGTTTGACAGTGAGAGAGAGAGACAGAGAGAAAGGTCTTCCTTCCGTTGGTTCACCCCCTAAATGGCCGCCATGGCCAGCGCGCTGCGCCAATCCAAAGCCAGGAGCCAGGTGCTTCCTCCTGGTCTCCCATGGGGTGCAGGGCCCAAGTACTTGGGCCATCCTCCACTACACTCCCTGGCCACAGCATAGAGCTGGCCTGGAAGAGGGGCACCCGGGACAGAAGCGGCACCCCAACCGGAACTAGAACCCGGAGTACTGGCACCACAGGTGGAGGATTAACCTAGTGAGCCGTGGCGCAGGCCTCAAATAGAATTCTTAAAAAATATATACAATAAATTTAGGACATCTGCTGGAGTAAATAAAGGGGAGAGTGATCCAACATGGGAAGTGAGAATCTCAGCAGACTCATAGAATGGCAGATGTCCTAAATAGCACTCTGGCCTCAGAATCAGCCCTAAAGGCATTCGGAGCTGGCTGAAAAGCCCATGAGAGTATTTCAGGCATGGAAAGCCAAGACACTCTGGCAAAAGATCTCTGTGAGTGAGATCCCAGTGGAAAGAACAGGCCATCAAAGAAGGAGGTACCTTTCTCTGAAGGGAGGAGAGAACCTCCACTTTGACTATGAGCTTGTCTAAACAAGATAAGAATCGGAGAACTCAGAGGGCTTCCATAGCCTTGGAAACTCATGACTGGAGCATAGGGAGATTACTGATGCCATAGACAGGAGTGTCAATTGGTAAAGTCAACAACAGGAGTCACTGTGCACTTACTCCTCATGTAGGATCTCTGTCCTTAATGTGTTGTGCATTGAGATTTAATGCTATAACGAGTACTCAAACAATATATTTCACTTTGTGTTTCTGTGGGGGTGCAAACTGTTGAAATCCTTACTTAATGCATACTAAACTGATCCTCTGTGCAAAAAAAAATGTTATCCCTCTTAGTATTTTTGAAATTATCAATTCCCAACTTGACTCTCACTGGGATTAAACATGACAATAGGTCTGCTCTGATTTCATCATCATTTAAAAAAATCATCTATTATTTTTCACTTTATGTTTCTGTGTGGGAGCAAACTGTTGAAATCCATACTTAATGTATACTAAGCTGATCTTCTGTATATTAAGATAATCGAAAATGAATCTTGATGTGAATGGAAGGGGAGAGGGAGTGGGAAAGGGGAGGGTTGTGGGTGGGAGGGACGGTATGGGGGGGAAGCCATTGTAATCCATAAGTCGTACTTTGGAAAATTATATGCATTAAATAAAAGTTAAAAAAAATATATATATACAATAAATTAAGGCAGTGCTTCTCAATCTCAGCAGCTTCCTGGAATCACCAAGGAGGATTACAAAACTTCTGATATCTGAATCCCATCCCAGAGATCCTGATTTACTTGGACTTGTGTAAGCTGGGTCAGCAGCAGGCTCAGAATCTCCCCCAGGTGACTCTGAGAAGTCCTAGGTTAAGGCTTTGTGCCTAAAAGATTCCTGGTAAATTGAGTTATCTCTTATGCAGATAAGCTCATCTTAAGCTCTCATCATTTTCCAGGTCTAAATTTCTTCCACATCAGAAAAGTTTCCTGGGGCCTGGAGGTGAGGATGCAACATAGAGGAAAGAAATGCTGTTAGGAAAAGCAAGTGTAGGTTAAGGAAGTCAGGTTTGTGTGGAAGGTAGTGAGGGACTTTGGAAAATCAGAGGCATAAGTCAAGAAATTGTGTAGCTCCAAAAATATCGCTAAGATTGAGTGGAAATACTAATTCAAACATCAAAATTCTACACAAATCTGGCCCTGTTCCCAATATTTTTTTCCTCCTTTCCCATTGTCATTTTTAATTATGTGTTCCCAATGCAGGAAAGAGCATCACATGCCAAGATCCCATCCTAGGTGTTGGGGAACCTGGGAAAGTTATCCAGAAACTATGCCAGTTTGCAAATATTTCCAGCAGCCCTGGAAATCCCGTTGGTGGGATCATCATTTACAAATGTGTGGGTTCCCAGTGGAAGATGGACAGGAATGACTGCATCTCTGCTCCAATAAATAGTCTGCTCCAGCTGACCAAGGTAACTCTTAGACCTTTGACTCTGAGCCCTTGGTGGGGAGATCTTTCTGGCTTGTCACGTTTCTTAGCACTCAGGAAAGTGTCCTTGGGCTGGTTTGTGTTGCTCCCCAAAGTACTTTATTTCCAAAGAAGATGCACACCAAAAAATACATAAAAAAGTATGTTTTGCTTGAATTTGAATCTGAAGGCAATGCAGTATGTGTTCTACCCTAGGGCCAGCTGAATACCTGAAGTTTGACTTCTCAGTACCTTGTATCCAAAAAAATCCAAGGGGCAGTATATTACCCTATCTCTTACTGCTCTCCTTTAAATACTTTTGATATGGATAAAATAGCTATAATCTTTTCAGAAAGATGAGCCATATGAAAAAGCAAAGTATATCAATTTTTAAAAAAATGGTTGAGCTTTAAGTTCTTGGAAGTTTGAGATCTCTCCCAACCTTTCAAGATAAATTATGAAGATGGAACTACCCTGCCTCTTACCTAAAATACAGCCTACCACTATGTAGCAAGGGATAATTCCGGTCAAAACTAATGAATGTCATCTCCACATTTAATTTTTTGTAAGTTAGATACTACCAAAACTCAATGACCTACACTAAATAAATGTTGTTGACACAACTAGTGTTTATACCTGCTGGTAATAACTTCAGAAGGCCAGTTCCAAATCCTCTGAACGACTGGCAGAAGATTGAGAAAAGGAGTAACACGGACTTGTGTTTTATCAGATTACCTTCTTTCTCTCATCTCACACCAAATTAATTAAAATACCTACTATGGACAAAGCATTATTATAGGTTCTGTCAAAGTAAAAAGGCTAAAGCAGAACACAGCCTCTGATTTGTCCGAAAATATAATCCAGTTGGATAGGTATAAACAAATTAATTTCAATAGGATAAATCAAGAAATGTGACTTGAAAAACTTGGTGTCTGAGTTAAACCTTCGAAGATGAAGCATGAGGGATATAAATTATCCTGATCTATAAATAGGAAAATTATAATTTGAATTCAGTGGTGGGCCCTGGCCCCAATCCTAGGTACATTTTCAATGGAAAAGGGTAATGCTATTCTATCATATTCCATTTGATTTGTCTGTTCAACATAGATTTGTTAGATGATGAACCAAGTTATGTGACTTGTATTACGTTGGGTGTTAAGAATTATGAGAAAGATGTAAAAGAATATATCCATGTAAAATAATACATTCATGTTGTTGAGGAGCTTATATTTAATTGGAGAGATATTAAAATTAAAACATAAAACTCCACTAGCAGAGATGTCACAGACATAAGGTATATAGAATAAAACAAATATTTATGCATTCAGAGGAATTAATACTCTCATTAAAGCCTTCCTAGACAAGATAGAATTTGAGCTCATTCTTTAGAGAATACATTATCTTCTGGGATGTGCTTATGGAATAGAGAAAAAGAATCTACAGATATGATAAATTTTGTCATGAATGGGTCAGCAGGGTATGATGGGTGGACTCAGTAACACATCTTTGTCTGTTTGTTTTGGCTTTTGCTTTACTAGGCTTTGGTCAAAAGCCCTTCCCAGGATGAGAAGCTGCCTACATACCTGAAGGATCTTTCAACTAGCACAGTCAAGGTGAAACACGAAATCAGCTTATTTCCTGGAAGCCTGGGAGCCATTGTTAGCATTCTTGATTTGCTCTCAACAGTCCCAACCCAAGTGAATTCAGAAATGATGATGGTGAGTTTGCTTAAGACTTACAGAAGTTTTGGGTCTTAGCTTTTCACTCTTAGGGCTTGTTTTCAAGAAGCTTAATTCCTCACTATATTAGTCACCTTTACATTGCTGTCACCAAAATGCCTGGGAGTAGTTATTTGAGAAGAAAGGAGGTTTGTTTTGGATCATGATTTTAGAGTTCAATGTCCAAGATGAAGCAGTACTATTGCCTTGGTGTTTGGTGAGGGTGGCAGAACACAATGAGGGAAGGGTCACATGGTGAGTTAGGAAGCAGAGAGACAGGGAACAAGCTCTCCCAAGTTTCTGTGCCTCTTCTGATAAAGAAAATAGATAGAATAATGGCAACTTCACCCTAGTAATCCAGTTCAATCTAAGCACCCTCCAAAGGCCCCAGCTTCAGATGCCATAATTACACTACACTTAATCCATTAGCATAAGACTTTGGGAACCCTTTCTCCCTTCTGTCTTCCTCTTACCTATACACTTGCAACCAGTTTCCAGGAAGGTGAAACTTTTTTTAATCTTTTATGATTGAGATAATTTGGTTTGACTCCATGCCTTGTTGCTTACAGCATGTGCTTGCCACCGTTAATGTCATCCTCAGCAAGAAGATCTTGAGCACCTGGGAGGTTTTACAACATCAACAGACCAAGCAAAGTTCACAATTACTGCATTCAGTGGAAAGATTTTCCCAGGCACTACGGTCAGGGGATAACACTCCTTTGTCCCTCTCCCACCCAAATGTGCAGATGAGGAGCATGGTGATAAAATCTGGCCACCCCAAGCCCTACCAGCAGAGATTTATTTTCCCAGACTCTGACCTCTGGGGCAATGTGGTCATTGACAAGTGCCAGCTGGAAAACTTGCAGCCTGATTCATCTATTGTCACGGTGGCTTTCCCGACTCTCAAGGCCATCCTTGCTCAGGATGGTCAGAAAAAAGATGTTGCCAATAGCTTGGTGATGACAACCACCATCAGTCACAACATAGCCACGCCATTCAGGATTTCAATGATTTTTAAGAACAACAATCCTGCGGGTGGGAAACCACAATGTGTCTTCTGGAATTTCAGCCTTTCCAACAACACAGGAGGGTGGGACAGCAGTGGGTGCTATGTCAAAGAAGTCAACAGGGACAGTGTTTTCTGCACCTGTGATCATCTGACATCATTCTCCATCCTCATGTCCCCTGACTCCCCAGACCCTGGTTCTCTCCTGAAAATTCTGCTGGATATCATTTCTTACATTGGATTGGGATTTTCCATCTTGAGCCTAGCGGCCTGTCTAGTGGTGGAGGCAGTGGTATGGAAATCAGTCACCAAGAACCGGACTTCCTACATGCGCCACATCTGCATTGTAAACATCGCTGCCTCCCTTCTGGTTGCTGACACCTGGTTCATTGTGGCCACTGCCATCCATGACTATTACTACCCACTCAACAAGACAGCCTGTGTGGCTGCAACCTTCTTCATCCACTTCTTCTACCTCAGTGTCTTCTTCTGGATGCTGGTGCTGGGCCTCATGCTCTTCTATCGCCTAGTTTTCATTCTCCATGATGCAAGCAAGTCCATTCAGAAAGCCATTGCCTTCTCTCTTGGCTATGGCTGCCCCCTTGTCATCTCAGTCATCACGGTGGGAGCCACCCAACCACAGGAAGTCTACATGAGGAAGAATGCCTGTTGGCTCAACTGGGATGACACCAAGGCCCTGCTTGCCTTTGTCATCCCAGCACTGATCATTGTGGTGATTAATGTGACCATCACAGTTGTGGTCATCACCAAGATCCTAAGGCCTTCCATTGGAGACAAACCTTGCAAGCAAGAAAGGAGCAGCCTGTTTCAGATCAGCAAGAGCATCGGGGTCCTCACACCACTCTTGGGGCTCACGTGGGGTTTTGGTCTTGCCACTGTGTTCCAAGGGAGCAATGCTGTGTTCCATATCATATTTACACTCCTCAATGCCTTCCAGGTAAGTTCTGTAGTACAGGGCTCTCAGTAAGTCTCTCTTCCTGTGAAACAAGCTAATGACAGAAACACAAACAGAAGTAGGAATGGGGAAGGACTTTAATCTGGAAGAAGCACTAGCCCTAAAGGGTAGCAATTACAAAACTGCGTTGAGACAGAAAGGACACATTCCTCTGCTCCCACGGAACCCCCCTAGCTCTTATCACCTGCATTATGACTTAGTTGTCTACCAATCTCTCTTAAATGCCCTAATAATACAAGTAAGAAGAAAGCTCCTTCCCTAAATTGGATTTCACCATTTCTGTAACATTATCTTGATTCAGTCCATTATCTGCTAAATAAAAATACCACTATTAAACCAAGTAATATTTCTAATTAATTTCCATGGGCATTCAGTGAGCTCTGTGTTGTGAGGACAGGGATCACATCTCTCTTGTTGCTCACTATATCCTGAGAACTTAGCATAGACCTTGTTCTAGAGTAAGCTCTCAATAACCACATGAATGAAATAAATGCTGTGTGCCACACAGTAGGTTCTCTGGAAACATTTATTGAAGAATGAATGTGGCCGGCGCCATGGCTCACTAAGCTAATCCTCCGCCTGCAGCGCCGGCAACCCAGGTTCTAGTCCCAGTTGGTGCGCCGGATTCTGTCCCGGTTCCTCCTCTTCCAGTACAGCTCTCTGCTGTGGCCTGGGAAAGCAGTGGAGGATGGCCCAAGTGCTTGGGCCCCTGTATTTGCATGGGAAACCAGGAGGAAACACCTGGCTCCTGGCTTTGGTTCGGCGCAGCATGCCAGCTGTGGTGGCCATTTGGGGGATGAGCCAACGGAAGGAAGACCTTTCTCTCTGTCTCTCTCTCTCACTGTCTAACTCTGCCTGAAAAAAAAAAAATGAATGCCATGGAATCTGATTATCTGATTATAGTAAGATGAAAAGATATCTTCTATCTTCTCTCCTACAACACATAATTAATTACAGTGCAGGCCAATCTGTTAAAACAGCCGTAGCAGAGGGGCAGGCTAGATGACTTTGGAGTACAAGGAAGGGAGGAATTAATTCTACTTCACCCACTGAGGTGTAAGGTTAGAAAAGTCCTGCCCCAGGATGCAGGCTCCTGTGTGTTAGTGAGGAGGTAAGAGGTCTAGAGGTGAAGTTGAGACATCACTTCCTGGTACTTTTGCCAAGACCATACAACCCTAACTTCTGCTACTAGGCCTGTAGCTCCAAGCTGTCAGGCTCATTCATGTTTAATGACCTTCAAGATATGCTTGAGTGGGAAAGAAAATAATTATTTCCCTCTGTGCTCCAGAGTCTCATCACAACCTGTAGCAATTAATGAAGAATAATGTAGGTATAAGAGGAATCAATAGGACTGCCCATTCATAATTGGAAATAGAAAATATTTTCATAACATTATAACATTTGGGACCCCTTAGTGTGTACTAGACTCATTCCATAACCTCAGATGAGGAGAGGGGTAGCAAATATTCAACACAAGGTTAATAATTGTACCAAACAATAGAATATGATTAAAATGCACTTTTTCTTAATCTTTCTCCCAGGGATTATTCATTTTACTCTTTGGATGCCTCTGGGATCAGAAGGTAAGAACAAAGACAGTTTCATGTTCTTAGAAAAGTCCAAAGTGTGCATGGCATGATGAATTTATGATGGCATCTTTCAAACAATGCAGGTCCAGGAAGCTTTGCTGAATAAGTTTTCATTGTCAAGATGGTCTTCTCAGCATTCAAAGGTAATACTTTTCAATAAGGAAACTCTCCATATTTCATACTTGTGAATTCCATTTGTGAGACAAAGTAGAGGGCACTACATTTTCCTCTTGGAATTTTGATCAGTGAGATTATATACATTGCATACCCAAACCCCTCTCTCTCCACAGCTAATTTGTACATGGGTTGTTGATTGATTTTTGCTTCTCACCTCATTCAGCCTGATAAACACAGCCACAGAACTATCATTAAAATGCGACTCCATGTTTTAAAATTTATATTTAAATGACAGTAACTTAAAGTTGAAACTTTGCACAAGAAACTAACTTCTGGTAGAATTAGGAATGGGTAGAATTTTCTATAGTTCATTTTGGAGTATAAATATTGCCCTTAAATACATCTGAATGCCTTTTGCATATCAGAAGATACTAAAAACCTTTCAAAAAATAAGACATATCCTAGAAGATTTATTTTCTTTCTCTTCCTTTCTTTTTCTTCTTTCCTTCCTTTCATCCCTTCCTTCCTCCCTCCCTCCTACTTTCCTTTCTCCTTTCCTTCCTTCATTCCTTTCTTCTATTTCTCTTTCTTTCTTCTTTCTCCTTCAATGTTATAACTGAACGGGATTAGAAATACAGGAAGTGACCACTAAAGAGCAATAACCCAACCTCTTAGTACTCAAAAAAGCCTTGATCTAACAAATTTGCTTTGTGACTGTTTTTTTCCCCATCTGTCTTCTAGTCAACATCCCTAGGTTCATCCACACCCGTGTTTTCTATGAGCTCTCCGATATCAAGAAGATTTAACAATTTGTTTGGTAAAACAGGTAAGTAGTGACTTCCAAGTGCTTCTTGATGGGGACCTCAACATTCCTACTTTTTTGGCCCCCACTCCCTAGAATTTCCTTGAAATGGTTTCATTTGGGATAGAGGCCAAATGTAAGGAACTGCTTACATTTGCACAAATCACCAGGAGGTTGTACAGGGGTAACTTCCTTCAATGGACAACCATTGATCCCTTATGGGGTATAAGACATTGAGAACTTAGATAAGACTTTGGAGAACATTTGTCAAAACTATCAGCTTTCAAAATGAGGATTGAAAGTTGCTTGCCTTGTCAAACATATAGTTCCTCTCTATCTATAGTGGATAGGGATACATAGGTCATGTTTCTGGGTTATGGTTATGAATATATTTAGAAAATTCTACATAATCTCAGAATCTCATTTGTGGATTTATTTTCCCTTTTTTGAGTATGCTGGTTTTACTCTTGATGTTTATAAAACTATATACAAATATGAGGGATCACCCAAGTTAATTATTCTATTAGAAACATTCTCAGTTAAAATGTCCACCTTGGTGATATAAAATGAATAGTACTAATGACTTTGTGCAAAGGATCTCAACTATTCCTGCTCACTGAATCTCCTGTGCCATATCACCATACTCCTAGGGAAAATAAATTCCAGGATTTCTTCCAGTTTTTTGAAACTGAACAGATCTCACAAATGAAATATGAAAATATGTCAATATTCCAGACCAAGCTTTTCACATGAAAGCAAGCTCTGAGAGTCATTACAACTGCAGAGGTCTTGGTGTTTTCCCTTTCAGTTTGATGAATTACAGATGAAAGTGGTGGATTTGCACTTTTGGTTTTGAAACTCACTGATTCTACCTGTTGAGAAATGAGCAAACCTTCAGGGTATATTAAAACTATTGCATTTTGCTAGGACTGTTGTGGGAACATTTACCATTTATTAGTGAGAAGGATGAAAACTCTATTAAAGAATTCCATGAAGTCATAATTAACCATGTGTGAGGTCAATAAAATGTGTTCCTTGTTTCTGAATCAGTTGGATAAAAGTTGGGGTGTGGGCTCTGAGATTTCTGGCCATTGCCGCCGGATGGTCTCTCAAGGGTCATGAATAGAGCTCCACTTTGGCTTGTTTGGGGGGAGTAATCACTTTCACTCTGGTTTGTGTTGTCAGCAGCCCCAAAGGTCCCCCCAGGCAATGATGGAAACCTTGTTAGCAGTGGCAGTTCACCAGTGTGATGGTAGGGTGGGCCCTTCAACCCTTCTCTTGCCCAGCACATACTCCCTACTGTCTCCCTATGCACAGTCCTCCAAATCTGCCCACACCAGCTGTGCAGTCCCTCCGAGGCTGGCCTTCTTGCTGTACTGGTTCTCGACACTTTCACTGGTGTTTCTGACTTCTGTTTCTTTGTAGTCCCACCTTTTCTTCCCTTGCAATTTTCTCTCTTCTTTCCTTTTCTCCCCTTTACAAACCTTGACCTTCAGCTCAAACTCCAGGTCCCTCCAAACAGCTTTCCCGAATCACCCAGGGAGTTTCCCTCATGCAGATGTCCCCAGGCCAGTGCATGTGGTGGCATGTGCAGAGGCTTTCCACGTTGTGATCTTCCTGTCTTTTGTGAAAATCTGGCTGCTGGTGTGATGTGAAGTAGTTAGTGCTTGTGAGCTGCACGCATGCTTGAGAACGACAGCTCTGTTGGTTCTCTGGCTCCCTGGGGCCTTGGGAGGAGCGCAGGCACGCTTGGTTTCCAGGCATGGCCAAGCTTACCTGGCTCTAGGACTAGAGCACCTCTTGGTCCATTAGGAGACGTTTGTAGCTCAGGGATCAGGAAGGCTTGTCTGCAGGGCTGACTTGCCGCTTTGTTTTCCAGGAACATATAATGTTTCCACCCCAGAAACAACCAGCTCATCCCTGGAAAATTCATCCAGTGCATATTCGCTGCTCAACTAAGAACAGGAAAATCCAATCTGTGTGACCTCTTGAGAACATGGATATGCTCTGAAAAACAGACTCTTCCGGAGCCATGGGTAAATTGTTCTCACGCAGGCTTCTGGGAGCAGACACTGAAAAGACTTTCTCATTGGAGAAGAGGCTTTGTTTTGTAAAGATAGACTAAAAAGTCATTGTTATCCTTATTTCTACTCCCTCCTCCAGCCCCTTGTATAGCCAAATGTGTATAGTATTTAAGAAAACTCAAGTCCCCCAGATCCAACATCCCTGTCTATATGGTAAAATAGCATTTTGAAGAGACATTTTCACTTTTCACACATGGGGCACAAAGATAAACTCTTATTAAAATAATAAGTAAAGGACTAGTACCTAAGAAATACTTTGATGAATTATAGGAAGGGTGAGAGGGACAGAGGAAGAGGAGAGAAGGAAGAGGAAGAAAAAGAGAAAGAAAGAAAATGAATGAAGAAAAACATTAAAGACAACAGATTAAAATTTCCATGTTAATAATCTAATATAAACTCTCAGATACCAAAACATTAAGAATTTCTAAGTTGACCAAAAATGGAAACTGAGAATAAGCCATTGAGAATGGGTTTGATATCTTCCTGATATTTTGTTGGCTAAGAAGGGGGAGAAAGGTAAGAAATGCCATCATCAGGATGCTTTCAAGTGGATAATAATATTTGCAAGAATTGTAAATAGGAGACTTGATCCTCCTGACGCTGTACAGGTGCATATGTTCTTGTGCATGTCCATGTTCGAGCTAAGTTGGATGAACGAGCAGAGGAAGTTGATAACCATTCCTGATTAGAACTATGCAGGTTGAACTGTGATTAGTTGTTTTAGTTTATTAGAAAACCCTTATGTTTTAGTTTGTTCCACATTTTGAAAGCAAAAAGATATATATTTTTATACCCATTAATCACCAACTCTGATATATTGCACTGAAAACAGATTCCAACTGTCTCATATGTAACAGCTTTAACCAGGTACTTCTCTGTGCATTATAGAATAGATTTTAATCATCTCAGAGCACTGTGTATTGTTGTTGTTGCTATTACTTGTTATTGTTGCTGTGACTATAGCAGTCCATGGTGCGTGTATAGCTTGCTGTACATTATCTCTTTCAGTCTTTAGGTTCCGAGACGAATATCCATTATGAGTGCTATAGGGTCTAATTTGTGTTTCGGCCACTTGGAAAGTTTCCAGAAAGAAATTTACAGCTGATTATTCTGTACTCCTAATGACACTTTACCATGAAGAACAAATGGTAGAGGTTTTCCCAAAAATTTGATTGTTTGTGAATTACGTGTGTGGGTGTTTTGTTTTGTGTATGTGCACTTCATAAAAAATACAGATATTTATTAAAACAGCATCCATAGTGGAGTTAACCACTGAGTAGAGTGCTGTAGATACAGCAACCATGCAGCCCAATCAAAGTCTGATCCCAGAGGGAGAATGAGACAGAGGTAAACTGTGGGACCATTCGGTATATGTGAGCTTTGTGCTCCACCTGAGGCCTGAGAACATAAACGGTCCACCACTAGGAAGATGGGGACAAAGGGGCCAAGAGTCAATGCTTTTCTATTGAGGTCTGAAAGAGTTTCTTTTATAATATTTTAACCTCTTAAAATCGCTTCCTTCCATTGTAAAATTTGGTTCTCCTTCTGCCTCACTCTTCTTCATGGAGAGTGAGAGGCATGGAGCAGAGGAGGCACAAATAGAACTCCTAACAGTGCTTTGTGTCAAACTCTTTATTTCTGTTTTTGCAAATGACATATGTGTTTGCTTGAGAATTGCCACAGCCCTCTCTCAACTGACCAAGTCATTATTTAAAGTCACTAAAGGAAATGATTGGTAGGATATACATGTGGATGAGGTTCTCCAGAGAGGTTCCAACTTTGGGCAGAGCTCAGATAGACACACATGTTAAGTTAGGGCATCAGTTGAATTAGAATTAAATACTCAAGGAAGAATGGCTCTGACTTGTTTCTGGAATTATTATATCAAGGAGAATCGAGGAAGGGCAGTAGCACAAGGTAAACTGGGCAATTTTGACATGATCAATCAAGGAAAGTACCATATCCAGGAGAAGGCTGTGGTTGTCATGTTCAAAAACTCAAAGGTAGCAGGTGCTGTGGTGCAGTGAGTAAAGCCGCTGCCTGCAGTGCCAGCATCCCACATGCCCACCGGTTCAAGTTCCTGCTGCTCCACTTCCCATGCAGCTCTCTGCTATGGCATGGGAAAGCAGCAGAAGATGGCCTAAGTGCTTAGGTCCCTGCACCCAATTGGGAGACCTGGAAGAAGCTCCAGGCTCCTGACAAGTGAACCAGTGGATGGAAGACCTCTCTCTCTCTCTCTCTCTGTGTGTGTGTGTGTGTGTGTGTCTACCTCCCCCCACCTCTGTAACTCCTTTGAAATAAATAAATAAATCTCTTTAAAAAAACTGCAAAGGGACAAAAAACACTGACCTTCCACCCACTTCAGCAGAGATCACTAGGGAATCATTGTGTTTGGCCTTGTAAAGGGAACCTTGATAATGACAGGAACTGTCAGTTGCGTTCCACAGAATGTCAGGCTGGCCCCGTGCCTGTAGTCATTAACCAAGGCACGTTCTCTTACCTCCAACACGCACACACATACACTCAGGAGAGCTTGTCCTTCCACACAGCCCTTGATGCAAATTCCAGAAAAGCAATGAAAACATAAAATTAGGGAAACATGGGTTAATTGTCTGCCCAATCACAGTTGTAGAAGAAAGTAGTTCAGGGGTCTACAAAGGACAGGAAATCAAGAGGCTCGTGTGGCCCTGAGATCACCATTTCTTAACCAGTGGTGACTCCAGGGATGTTGGTAGCCAGTCTCTGAGGGAGGGAGACACAGCGGCTCAGACATTGCTGCAGGTTGGGCCTTGTGGTCCACTTGACTGGAAAGCTCCCAGGGTTCCCCATGCTCGTGACCTCGCTCAATATCATGAATCACAACTTTCTCTCATTAAGGGACCTTTCAGGGATGGCAAGATTGGGGCACTCACAAATGAGCGATTAATAGAAACATCAGGAATAGTCTCTGAGACTCCTGTAAGCCCCCGATAACACATCGTCCCCATGGATAAGTCATTTCTTCCCATTTCTCATCGTTTAGATTGGTAAAGAGGTGAATAAGTGTTCACGGATTATTCAGAACATAGCTGGAGAAGACCAGTCTTCTGTGGTTTGTGTAGAGAACGTCAGAGAGAACTGTGTTGGAAGACTTCAGGGAAATAAGTGACAGGGAAACAAGACAGACACAGCTGCCGGGGAGTGCAGAAGGGTGGTGTGTGGAGTTACTCTGAGGTGAGAGGGGCAGAAAGGCACCATCATGGGAGAATACAAAGGAAACATTGCAGTCCTAGAAATGCCCCTCAAGTGGAATGAATTTTATCCATGTCATGTGACTGTGAAGCCCAAGGGGTCCTCTGTGTGCCAAGGAGAAAGCCAGCCATCCAGACCAGCGAAAGTCTGGTTCTTCTAACGTCTACAGTGAAAGAGGATCTTGCCATGGAGATATCTATCTTTTGCAGTTTTTAAAAGGTAATGGAAATAGCGGCTCATCCTTTCCAAGAAGATGCCAGCTTTGAAACTGGATGCTTTGGGTTTTGACAATTATGACTCAGGATCTTAAATCATGCCTTAACAGTCTGCCAGCACACCCTTGTCTTCCTTTTCCATGCTTGTAATAATAAAGTATCTCATGAGATTTTGTGAGCTTTCTGTGTCAGTTGGGTACTCTTGGGCAAGAAGTTGGCGTTGTAGTTTCAGACTTAGCCACATTAACCAGAATTTTACCTCCATTCTGTAAACAGCGAGTGATCTTTGTCATATTCCAGCCCTGGGAAACAACAGAGCTTGCAACTGAGCCCAGCTGTTGCCAGGGCTGGTGGCTTCTTTCCCACCATCCACACTCCCAGATCACAGGAGGGTTCAGCACCTTAGAGAGAATTTCAGCAGGGGTCCTGGAAGTGACATTTTTCCAGCCCAATTGTCTGGGATACAAATGGATGTCTAGTCCAACAGTTGTATGTGGGACCATTGCAATTTTCACTATGAGCTGAAAATAGAGTCTGCATGTCCTGTAGACATTCAAGACAACAACCACATTTCATACATGCTGTCTGCAATTATATCTCCCTCAAAGTTCAAGTGTTGGAAACTTCAGCTTCAAACTCATATGTGAATAGTGTTTGGAGGTGATCCTTTGTGAGGCAGTTAGGATTACATGAGTTCATGAGGCTGGGATTAGAGGATTTATAAGAGAGACCTGAGCATGCACACTTGCTGTGTCTCACTGTGGGATGCCCACCAGCAAGCTGTGATACAGCAAATGGCCCTCACCAGATACAGAGCAGATGCTGGCGCCATCTCTTGGACTTCTCAGCCTCCAGAATCATGAGCCAAATAAACTTCCCTACTTTATAAATTACCCAGATATTTCATTATAGCAACAACAAATGGACTGAGACTATGAGCTTCCTTCTCGCAGTGAATATGGAATGCACAGAGGAAGAAAGCAGGAAAGCCAGGATGTTACTGAAGCTAGTTACGGTGCCAGCTGCCTGTTACTTGTCTCCAAACACCATTTCATGTGGTGTGGCTGGGCCTGGGAGGCCTTGGTTATGGTGTCCTGTGGTTGGGATTGAGCCATCATTTTTAAATGATAATTTTATAAATGTCTATTCTTTCCCTTTTGCCTGGGAACTTCGACATAGAAGAGCTGAAAGGCCAGCTATGTCCCTGACAAGGAGAGAGCTGAGCCTGTTTGCACTCCAGATTTTTTCTTTGATTTTTTTGAGATTATGTATTTATTTAAAGAGAGAGGGAAATAAAAAGAGAGAAATTTTCCATCTGCTGGTTCACTCACCCAAAAGCCCACAACAGTTGGGGCTGGGCCAGGTGAAAGCCAGGAGCCTAGAACTGCATTGAGGTCTCCCCCATGGGTGGCAAGTACCCACATATTTGAGCTATCACCTGCTGCCTTCCATGGTGCACAACAGCAGGAAGCTGGATCAGAAGCTCAGAAGAGCCAGAACTCAAGCCAGGGACTCTGATATGGGTGCAGGTGCCCCACGCTGGTGCCTAACCCGCTGCACCACAGCACCTACACCTGTGTTCTTTAATGCAGAACCACGCTGGTGGCTGTTAAAGATGAAACCCAGGGGGCAGAAAACAATGCTTGTTCTCAGCCTCTCGAGAGGTACCAGAAACAAACTAGGCAGGTCATGGGGAGACTGCCCTTACAGCCCAAAGTATTGACGCTAGTCAATCAATTAAATCCCAGAATGACTTTGGACCCTGCCGCCACTCTTCGAGCCAATTTCGAAAGTTGCAGCCTTATCTCCTTTCTCCTGCCCGCCAACCCCCACCCCCAGTGGTGGTGGGAAGAGACGTCTGATTTTGATTAGCGCTGGAAAATTGTGCATCCATTGACTGTTCTGGAACCGTGAGCTTTTTCCCATGCCCCAGGAGCGCTCTCACAGCTGTACTCCTCCTCCAAGTCTTGCCAGTCTTCTCCAGCTGGGTTAATGAGTGACAGCTGGCCGCCCAGAGCTGAGGCTTCCCCTAGCCTGCGCTTCTCCTAAGACTCGACCGCCACCTGGTGGACAGCAAAGGAGGCGTTTCCAAGATCACAGAGGTGATGTTTGGCCAATGGATGACGTGCCTGGTTGGCACATACAGAGGAATAATTTGGGTCATATGAACAGGCTGAAGGCAGGGCCTACAGGAGGAAAGTAATTGGAAATAAAGGGCTCACTCTCACTCCCCACCTCGCAGAGACAGCGATGGGGGCATGGAGAGAGAGATCTCTCCAGTCAGAGAATGTACATTTCTGAGATATACTAGCTAGGCTAACTCCCTCCTTCTGTTTCTTTCCAACATTGCTGATTGAATCTTATTCATGGAACCCACAGCAAAGCTAAAATCAGCCCCAGGAATGGCCTGGCCTACCCTCTCTGGATGGGCTGCTGGAAGGCAGCTGAAAGAGGCCAAATGCATTCCTTCCGCGTTTCATGGAAGCTTAACACCTTCTCCAGCGGCGTGGCTGCAGGAGGATGAACTTGGATGGCCCTATTCCCTGTTCTAAGTCATCTCGTTGAGAACTATTGCCAGGCTGGATTTTCTTATTCAAAGCACACTGCGTCTGCTGCTGTCCCTGCGCTGGCTGACATGCAGCCAGCTGCAGAGGCCCAGTGCTGAGTTTGGTCTGAGAAGACTCAGGAGAAGCAAACAGGATGGTGCTGAGTTGGGGCAGCCACTTTCCCAGTGTGGGAGAAAGCTGTATGTGGCGGGATGCTGCTCAGGCCCCTCTGAATCCCTAAGTGGTACATTCATTTAAAAGAAAAAAAAAAAGGTTAACATGCAAATACCTCTGGCAGAAGCACACAGCAACTTCAGTTTACCCTCAGGTGAAAGTGATGGCTCTATGAGGATACTTGAAAGAGTTCATGGAAAAATGAAATTTAAAAATAAGTTTCTTGGAGTCAGCGCTGTGGCATAGCAGGTAAAGCTACCACCTGCATGCCAGCATTCCATATGAGCACCAGTTCATGTCCTGGTTGCTCCGCTTCCCATCCAGTTCCCTGTTGACACACCTGGGAAAAGCAGCAGAGGATGGCCCAAGTGTTTGGGCCCCTGCCATCCACATGGGAGACCTGAATGAAGCTCTGGCTCCTGGCTTTGTCCTGGCCAAGTCCTGGCCATTGCAGCCCTCTGGGGAGTGAGCCAACAGATAGAATATCTCTCGCTCTCTGTCTCTCCCTCTTTCTGTAGCTTTGCCTTTCAAAGTAAATAAATAATAAGTCTTAACAAAAAAAGTGTCTTTTGCTACATTTTTGAAATCTCTGCCTAGTTTTTCTGTAATATGCATCTTAATGGACTAGGGGAAAACATCTCGTGCAACTGTGCTAACCAACATTTACCAAGCTCTTACTGTATCTGGTGTTTTTCTAAGAGCTGTAAAGGTATGATCTCATTTAAGCCCCATAACCACCCCAGGCTGAGTTAATATTTTTCTCTTCATTTTTCAGATGAGAACACTAAGCACAGAAAGATTAATTACTTGCCCCAGGGTCACACAGCTACTTAGGAAATATATACTGAGTGTCTGACCTAGCCCATGTGTACATAGCCACTACGTACCTTCTCAGCACCAATGACTTTCTATAAAGTCAGCTGCTATTATGGGGAGAGTTCTAAGTATACAAAATGAGTGTAAGAGGAGAACAGAGACAGAAAGAGGGGAGGAGTTAAGGCTTCTCCAAGCTACATCTCACTTTAATTTCACACAGGAGCAGCCCGAGTTGGAAGGACTGGTGTCCTGGGCAGACTGGAGAGCCTTCTTCATTCTCTGGGGGTCCATCAAAGGATTCCTGCTGTGTCTCTTGGTGGAAAGTCAATTGGCCACCTGGTGGACGCCCCAAAGGGAAGTGTGACTGAATGTGCTGTTTTAACTTTTAGTCTTCATTCAAATGATCCTCCCAGGAGATCCCGATTGCCAATGGTGTTATTTTTATTCCTGTCACAGTTCCATCAAGGATCCTCAGAGTGTTGGATGTCATTTAGACATGCAGAAGGAAAATTTGACTTACAAAAATTCTGGGGCTGTGTTCAAGCACATCACGCTTAGAACTGAGACGGTTGCCCTAATAGATCTGGCGAAGTCCTGACTGCCCATGTGATACGCAGGTGCAACCAGCAGCTGATTTGCAGCTTGAATTGTTTGGGTTTGCTTTGCATGGGTCAGTGCCCAGAGCTGTTCTTTAGCATTAATTAATAGCTGGTCAGTGAGTATAGGGTGCTGGTTAAGGGCATGACTTTTGGAATCAGATTCTGATTTCCATTTCTTAATTTGTAACCTTAGATAAAAGAACTCTCTCATGATCCAGTTTCCACAATATAAATTGGGATAAGAAGAGGGCACCATAGCTTGTTATGAAATACTTTTCTAAAAAAATTATTTATTTATTTATTTGAAGAAGAGAGAGAGAGAGTTTTCATCTATTGGTTCACTCCCCAAGTAGCTGAAGTGGCTGGGGCTGGACCAAGCCAAAGTCAGGAGCCAGGAGTACCATCCAGGTCTCCCATATGGATGGTAGGGGCCCAGAGACTTGGGCCATCTTCTGCCATTTTTCCAGACACATTAGCACAGACTTGGAGTAGAAGTAGAGCAGCCTGTTCTTGAACTGGTGCTCATATGCAATGCCCGCATTACAAGCAGTAGCTTAATCCATTGTGCCACAGTGCCTACTACATGTTATAAAATTCTTATAAAGCCCCCAAAATAGGGTTTGGAACATAGTTATGGATGAATAAAATTAGCCAATGTTTTGTATCATACTGTTTATGTACTAAAATTGCACACACACACAAAGTGAGAGAGACAGAGAGAGAGGGAACCCAGACCTAAACATGCTCTCTATGCAGAATAAAAGTACAAATACCCTCCACATTTTTCACTTAATTCAAGTTGGGAGTCTTTGAAAGTAATCCCAAAGATACATGGCATCCTAAATAACCACGTTGCCAAAGTGTGGGATTAAATCATGCCCAGTATGAGACCAGAATGAGAGAAGTCATATAACAAGGTCATGAGGTTGGTTCGCTTCCCTGTGTCAGCCTCTCAAGGCAGCTTTGGTGACCTCATGCATTGCAGGATTTTATTTAATCCTCAAGCTAATTCCACAATTCGTTACCTTTATAGTTGAG